TGGAGCCAGAGGTTAAGGTGGAGCAGGAGCTCAAAGCAGAGCCACAAGTCGAGCCAGAGCAAGAATTTAAGGTGGATCTAGAAGCTAATGGGGAAACAGAAGCAGAACAAAAGGTCTTCATGGAGCCAGAGTTTGAAGATGTGCCAGACTTTAAGGTGGAATCAGAGGTTAAGGTGGAGCCACATGTTCTAGAGGAGACAGTGTCCATGTTTAATGAGGAGGAAGAGTATCAAGCAATTCAGGAGTCACAGGTGCAAATGAACCTCGAGCCAGAGATTGAAACAGGTCGGGAGTTCGACGATACACACATTGACATGGAGCAAAATAATGAAATGGTGAGCGAAGATGTGCCAGACTTTAAGGTGGAATCGGAGGTTAATGTGGAGCCAGATGTTCTAGAGGAGACAGAGCCTATGTTTAATGAGAAGCAAGAGTATCAAGCAATTCAGGGGGAGTTTCAGGTCCAGATGAGCCTCGAGCCAGAGATTGAAACTGGTCGGGAATTCGACGAGACACACGCTGACATGGAGCGAAAATATGAAATGGAGAGTGAACCGATCATGGAGCTGGTGCCACTGGATGATGACAACATGTTTGGAGAAGAAATGAGCGACAGTCAGCTGTCTGAAGTGGAACAATCTTTGAGGGCGGCATTTGAGAATCCAGATCCTATCATGGAACTGCTGCCAGAGGAGGAGGAGGAGCTTATGAGGGAGAGTGACCACGTTTTAGACGAAGAACCAATCAGGGAAATGGAACCTGAGAGGAGGGAAGAACAGTTTGTTCCAGATGCTGTTATCATGGAAGAAGGGCCAGCATTGGACATTATGGGGCAGCCGATACAACCTTTAGAGCAGTATTTCCCCAATGAAGAAGCTCAGATCGGGATGGAGCGTGGCTCTCTCATAGCGGACGGGTTAGACTATTCAATGATGGAGGAACCCATCAGTGAGATTGTCAGCGAGGAGGAGCCGTCTCACATGGTTGGCATGCGGCCCTTTGAGGAGCCAGAAATGGAAGACAGTCCTGTGCCGTTAGATGGACAGTATTTCAATTAAATAAATTTAAAATACAGATTCAATTACATTTGAGTAATTTGTCATTTGTATTTTGCTGGGCAGAAAAAAATATGTAATTTGTAACAAATAAGACACAATATTATCTGTGGAGAAAAAAAAACAGTACAACAATTAACCTAATTGCAGCCTGAATGCAAGTGAATCACATGATATGTCCTGTGTTATCTTATGTTATGATCAGAAACGAAAATAAGCTTTTTTATAAATATGTGAATGTGAAGTAAAGTGTAAAGTAAAGTATTTTTTTTATTCTTGAGCTTGTTGTGATTATTGCCACAAAAAGTGTATTTGGAACTAAAGTATATAATAATTCATTGCACTCATGATTAAACTTTACTTTGAACTTTTACTGTAACCAACATTTACATTTTTCCCATAGTAGAAAATATGCATTACAACATAGAGTATATATATGACTATATTTTTATTTTGTATCTTTGAAATTGTATTCTTTATATTTATCTTTTTCTAATCTTTTTTTTCCTCTTATTCTATTTTTTATTTTACATTAACCTTTTAGCACATCCAATAAATTACGTCACTTCAAATTTCACTGCACATAGAGAAACTATAAGTGCAACAAGTTAATCTGAAATCTTTAAGTGTGCTATCTTTGATATACTAACACAGCACTTACTAATAATACTATACTATATATAATATATATTATTATTACTAATAATATATAATTAGTGCAATTTCAAATATACTGAAATACATTTTAAGGGACATACATGAAGAAAACATGCACACAGAGACACACAAAATAAGCAATTTCAGTCCTAACGATTTGAGTAAAAAATGCTTTAGTGGTAATACAGTTCCTCCTACAAAAAACAAGGATAATGGAGAAAAACAAAAGATAATGGAAAGAGAGAAAAATAAGCTAAAAATAGGGAGAATGTGGGGGGGGGGAAATCTGTACAAACAACCAAACAAACATTTGACATATATCCGTGGGTCACAAAGCAGATAAAGCAAAATTAATGCTAGAATATCGATAGAATCACTTGCATTGGTAGTGTGTTACAAAGGCATTTCTTCATGCTCGGTTTGGACAAGAGGAATGAAAACAGTGACCAAAAACTGTATCAGTTTGATTAAGATTTGAAAAATATGAATCCTTTAAAGAGAAACAAGATGTTGTAATTCCACATTTTCGCCACTAAGTGGCGCTGTTGTCCTGGTGTGATACCTGAGGGGACGCGTTATCACTTCTTCAAAGGGCCAAAAGGGGGCTTGCAGATGCCAAAGTATTTACATGATCTACACTTCTCAAAGATGCCTCATGAAATTTTTTATATAAAGTTAGACTTCTTTAGTAATACACAGCCATTAATATGCACAATACCACTGTCACTGCCTTCTCTATTCCACTGCCGCTCTTCTACCAAGAACATTTCCCTGATGGCCTTAATTGGCAGGGAGCATGATGAGCATGATGCTGCACCAAAACAGGGCATTGGAGTGGAAGACTACAATATTTGGAGGTGTGTATGTTAAGTCACGGAGTAGGGGGGTCATAAATCTGTTGTTGAGAATACAAATAAATAATTGACCCTAATCACACCATGAGAGTGGTTCATTTTATTGCTGTGTTTGTATCTGGAGAATGACTTAAATAAATGATTTGCTGTCTCATTAGTCTCCTGTTATCTATCAGACTGGTTTTATCTGGTTGGATAGAAACCACTGGGGCTGTCAGTAGAGCCCAATAACACAACAGATGTGAAGGACTGTTTGGAAGTGCTGGCACTTGAGTCAGATTGTTGTTTAAAGCTGAACTGAAGACCAGGCATGTAACTGAGTTATGTAATCAGGATTGAAGAAAAGGTAATTGTAATCCATTACAGTTACAGACAAAACAGTATAACCAGATTACAGTTTGGTTGAAGATTAATAGCAAGATTACAATTTTAAAATACATTTTGTCTCAAAAAATACACTGAGAGGAGGAGCAGAATGATGCTAATAATTTTGGTTTCCATTTTCTTTTCTAAGGTTAAATTGTTCCGATGTCTTATAGAATATCTACAAAAAATATTTTTTTGATATAAATATATATATATCTTTTCTCTTATCGGCATGTGCATATAAATGTAAGTCAAGTTATGTTACTGCAATACTGTGAAACTGTGATTAGGTTACTGACTACGTTTTTTAAAAGGTAATTAGTAATTGTATTGTATTCAGTTTTTAAAGTAACCCTCCCAACCCTGCTAAAGGCACATAACACATCACAAACTACATCCTTCAGAATGAACCTGTAGTTAAATAGACAGCTCTCTAAAACAGTTTTATTATTACAACTTTGTTGTATTAGACTGTTAGATTTAACTGAGTGTGCCTAATAAACTGAGTGTAGAGTATATTACCTCTCAGTTAAAGCACCACTGTTGGACTGCAGGATGGGGCATTTTTGAGGTTTAGGTGATGAATGTTTACCAGGAAACAGTGACACAACCATCAGTCTGTTCGGTGTGTCTAAACCTTCAGTCCATCCAGGACCCATTTACAGCAGGCCCACCTCACTCAACCATGGAGTCCAGGAATTCTGGCTCATTTTTTCCAGATCAGGACACAGCCGCTCTGTCCGAGAGAGCGATCTGTTCTGGTGCCAAAATATTTCAGGGTGATAAAAGCTGTTCACACAACGACTTCATATTTCCTATTCACAGTCTGCAACATTGCTGGCAGGATAAATATGTTTGATTACGTGCTTCTGTCAATGTGGCATCTAGACTCATTGAATTCTAATCATCGCCATTACAGGAGCTTTGCACCCATTAACTGATATATTCACACACTCAGGCTGCACATGCAGCTACTGTAAAGCCTGCCTGGACTCACATGTTGCTGTGTGTGACTGTGACTCATTTTCCACTGGCTTGCACAACCTTTTCCTGACCTTTAGATGTGCAGGTGAGGATTACCAACTCTAAGGTGATGACTGGCAGCTCTTTATCCTTCTATTTCAATGGATGACTGTCCCCTATATACACACATCCACCACCACTACACACATACTCATTCACTATAATTAATATTCAAATTATTTAATTCTCTACAAGCTATTGTTTGAGAAACACAATCTGTGGCACAAGTGAGCCGCACATTCTCAATTGTTCCTCTACCAGGAAAAGTGACTTTTGCTGGATTTAAGAGATCACAGTTGACTGTTCATCTCCAGTCTATTACTGGAGGGATAGCTCCAATAGCTCTGCTGCACATTGTGTACGTACATTACAAAATCATATTTTTAGACTCAGTGCAAAATCGGATCTGGTTGATCATCACCAGGCAGGTATGTACATTGGAGAGAGGAATAAGAAACTAATAAAGTGGGAAAGTCATTTTGGCAAAACAAGAAAATCTGTGGCAGATATGATTCATCAACAGTGATGATATGATTGATAAATGAAAAAGAGAGCGGTGGATTACTGGAGTACAGATCCTGATGCTGTGGAAATCCCCTAATACCTTGACTGCTTATCAGTGTTGCTGTTTAGATGGGAGTGACTCAGTGTTGGTGCTTGCCATCTGTCAGTTCAAGTCATTTTCTAGCTTCATGCAGCACAACCAGTTGCCTGCTGGCCTGTGTGTGTGTATGTGTGTGTGTGTGTGTGTGTGTGTGTGAGTGTGTTCATGCACCGAGGCTGTGAATCCTCCTGACTGAGCCCTGCAGACCAGCTTAAACCCTTGATGCAGTGGATACAACTGTATCCATGCCCAGTCGTAAACTTTATATTACGGGATGGTATAAAAACAGACTGTAAACAATGTTTACAACACAGCCTGCAGATTCTGTACATAGCAGCACTAATCTGTGTGCTTTTCCTCATCAAGGTACATACAGTACTGTGTGGACAAATAACACAAACACATCTTTTGAAATGGTCTCAAGTAATTCCTCAACTGTGTGTAGTCAGATATTAGACCCATGTTCAGGAAAATATACCTATGGTTCACATCAAAGGTGGGGATATACTTAAAGGATAGTGCCAGTGTGTCCAAATGCAGGTTTTAACTACAATTAATGTATACTATGCAATACCTATTACTATTTTGAATGTGTTCTATCGGATTAGATTAGATTTTAGATTAAAAAAAAGAAGAAAAAATAAATAAGTGTTTTACATTTATTTCTTCTTCTTTCTTTTTTTTGAAAATTAATTTACGGACTCATGAAACCGTCCTGAGTTGTGAAAGCCATCATATTAACATCAAGTCTGCATTCATTTTTACATAAAGTTACATAGTGTGGTAATGCAGTTTAAATAGTTGATTTAAGCACATTTCCTACACATCACGCAGTTTATTACGAAAACATACTCCTGTGTTTTAAACCAGTCTTTTATCAAACTTTAACCACCACCTCAGAAAATATTAGCCTCTCCAAGTACCACCATTATGACTGACGTTAAAATACAGTAATGTAGACCGACCCTATTCAGCTACAGATAGTTCACACAGGAGGCTGGTTTATTCCAAATAAGACCATTTATCAAATAAGATCATTTATTGTTGACTGTTGTTGTCACAAGAACAAGAACCTGAGCTAATCTGGTAGAAAAAGGGTTCTCCTGATCCACACTTCCCTTACTAATACTTCCCGTTAGCAGCCATGATTGTAGTGTTTTTGAACCATTTATTTTGCTTCTGCTTGTTATGTTGCCATTACATTTTATCTTGTAACTAATCATGGATGTATGCATGTGTGCATGAATGTAATTGGCTGATACTGAAACTAAATATTACAGGAAATGCAAAACTTGCATACCACTGGAGGTACCTCACGTACCACCAGTGGCACACGTACCAGAATTTGAGAACCACTGTTTTAGAGGTTGCTTCTCTTGCTTTGCAGTGTTTACAGAGCCTAATTAACATTCATATATAACTTGGCTGCATCCCTTCTGGAGATTCAATCTGTGACCACTGTTCCTCTGTGCTGATCCAGTTGGTTGGCATATGTTGTTTTTCTCATCACACTAGGGGCCCGTAAGAAAATTATTAGTGGGGGAGAATGGGGGTGAAAAAAGGCGAGGGTATTGTAATTTGTCCTTTGGCTCTTGGTATGGGAGTTTATATATTTATATTTATTCATGTATGTCTTCTATCTGTCTTATTAATGTCATTAGAAGCTTGCAAAGTCTCTGGTTCAAATCTTGCTGGGGACGTTGTTGCATCTCTCTCCCTCATTTCCTGTCATCTCCCCACTATCACTAATTGATAAAGGCATAATATGTTCATGTAAACCAAATTATGCCTTTTATATATTATATTATTTGTATTATATCATATTATTATTATATTATATTATTACTTAATTATATCACTGCCCCTAAAATAACATTCGAACAGATTAACTCAACCATCTTAAAGCCTTTTCTTCTAAAGCAACAACAAACAAACTAACAAAGGTACGTCCAGTGTGTTTACGTGCAACACAGTAAGTAGGAACGAGAGGGGAGGAGGGAGAAAGAAGAGCATGCAGGATAAGAGATGGCACATGTCAGGGGGATGAAGAGAGGAAGGATAAATACATGATAAAGGTATTAAAGGTGGAAGTGTCAGTTCCAGGTCAGTCCTTGGTAAACAGTTTCCTTACTCTCCTGCTGATTGCATTAGAAATTAACACCACTCTCCTCGGGGAATGCCAGGTGGCTTACATCCATCTCACACATCCACAACAAACCACATTCATAACCCTCCCTATGTTTATATTTATGTTTATCCTGCAGGATAGACATAAATATGCAAATATATTGGTAGAGTGCACAGTGTGAATTCATGTTCTCAAATGTTTGCATGTCCCCACAGCCCTACCTGGAACTCATACTTACAGCCAGATGTCTGGTTCGTTAAGGATGAGAGGAAGAAATAACAAGAAGCTTTCTGCAGAATCTTTGAAGGAAACTAAATGATGGCTCTACAGTAACATACAGAATATAAACACTGACAATTAAAGTTGATGTTAAGTGCTGGGAGGGGTGAGGAATGTTTATCTCTCTGTGTTTCTGTCTCTCAGAGACCCCTGTCTCGCTCAGGGGTGTGTCACAGACGATGCTGCTTCTATAAACACAAGAACACAGCAGAGAGACGAGCAGACACACTGGGAAAAGGGAAATAGGAGACCACGCTTCATACAGGTATGTTTCAGACATTCTGAGTAGACACATATTTAAAGGCTTTTTGTGTTTTTAATTTTTCAGTGGATTGTCACTTTCATACTTCAGGTGACAGTAATTGTTTTTAAATGATATCAAACTTTATCCTTCATATTTGCATGGGGATCCAGCTGAATGTGATGTGCCTCTGAGTTAAAGAGCAACCCAGTGTGTCATTTGTATCCTTGTTTGTTAACCTGGGGGTTTAACCAGCTTCTGGGCTCCGGACTGGAGTCTAGTGGCAGTCAAAGGGACCAGTGGACTAAAACTAGTCCGTTCTGAACCCATTTCAGCTGTTACTGATCTTAAAATAAGTCACAGACACACAAACCGTTTAACAAGCACATTCAAAATACACAATGTCTAACCAGAGAATCATCAACAATGCAAACGTTTGTTATTATATAAATAACTGAAAAGATATGCAGCTGACCAACAAGGTGGATACACTGAACACATATACTGCAGAGCATTTCAGTTATGTGAGACTGATTATTATAACACTTCTTATAATATAATATTAGAATTATTATATAATAAGGTTTTGATATGTTGCTCAGTGGGTTTTAAGAGGTAGAGTAAAAAAAATTTCATATAGTAAAACATACAGTATATACATGTCTGAACATTTGCTGTTATAAACTATTTAACATGTTTTGCTTAAATCGAAAAGACGTGCTATATATAGCTATTTAATGATTTTAATGGAAAGCTTGTTACAAACTGGAAGTGTTGGGTTTGAAAGAAGTGTGTGTTTACCAGGCAGGGAGAGTTTTAATGAGTTGCATTATAGGAAATGTAGGGTCCTGGTTTTTCTTAACCTTGACCCATAATGGGGTGTATAAGACGGCCTCTGTTGCACCAATTCTGACTTTTCTTTTTTAATCTGTCTCTTGTAAGCCCCCCAGCTTTTAGAAGTACAATACTACTAAAGTTGGAGTGCCCCTTTAACATGTCTTGATTGTAATCAAAAGCCACACTGTAATGATACTCATGTCACAGAAAATGCTACTACTTTTCCTTCAACAGTCTTTAGTGGTCATGGAGAGATTGTCCACAGTCAGCCAACCCGTCCCACAGAAGCATCTTGGAAATAAAAAGGAATTGGAGGACACAAAACAGGATGGGAAACTAAAGGTGGAGCAGGGGACCACAGATGAAGGTAATTTTGGATTGAAAAATCAAGAGTATGTCACTTTAAATTGCATGTATTGTATTCTGTACTGCCATGACTTGTCTAGTTTCTGTATTGCAGATGGAAAATCATTCAGATTTTTTCTCAAAGTAGATTTGCCACACTGATCTTTTATGCCGAACTGTAACCCAACTATTCCTCTAACACTCTCCTCTACAGCGTTAACAGACCAAAAGGTGATGGCAGGAGAGGCTTTGGACAGGAGGAACATCTGGGAGCCAAGTGTTTACTACGCGCTGGGAAAGGAGTCTTTTTACTTCGCTGGTCATGACATCAGCATCCGCGAGTCTATGGATACTTATGGTGCTCTGATCTGGCCTGGGGTATGACCTGCCACTACTGTATGTGTCTGTGCATACCTGGTTAATGATGATGATGAGAATTTCCTTTGCAGGCAATAGCTTTGTGCCAGTTTTTGGAGAATAACCAGCAACAAATGAGCCTGATGGACAAAGCGGTGCTGGAGATTGGAGCTGGAACCGGCTTGCTCTCAATAGTGGCCAGTCTGCTTGGTAAGTCTATGATAATGAAGTCCATTTGCACTTAGCACAATATGTGCTGTATGTATGAAATAATAACTTTCACAAGACACCAGTAAGTCTTGACACTGGAGTCCTGAGTACCAACATAACTCATACCGGGCTTTGTGCCAGTTTTAATGCGATTACATGGAAATGCCGACAGAACAGTTGTGATTGTGGTGCCATTGTTTATTCCCTTGGGTGCATACGTATGCACTGAATATTTTACGGGTATCTGCTCATCTTTTGTCCAAAATGTATATTTTGGCCTTACGGAAACATCAGAGGGTCACTTAAACACTGGGATTCATTATCTGAGGACCATGACTTTCCACCCACACCAAAATTTTTGCATCACAATCAGGCCAGTAGTTGTGAAGATATCTTGAGAAACAGAGTGATTATTGGACTGATGTGGCCTCCTTTGGTCTTTCCATTAATCATGCAGTGGAAACATAAGTATAATTTTATTCTCTATGAAATAAAACATCTATTCATACTGTTATTTTACTGTTTTTTAACAGTATTTTTGACCGTTTCCTTTATAATCTCTTCATTCAGATTCATCTTCACAGGACCACAAATGTCTGCTCAGAATTGCATGGCAATCTATCCAATAGTTGTTGTTCATGAGTGGTGGACCAAACAACCATCAGACCGACATTGCACTACTAGAGCCACGCTGTTATCGTAGCTATAAAGGTGTCTTTCTGTCTATCAGCTGCCTTATTCTGTGCTCTTTTCCAGGTGCTTGGGTGACAGCTACTGACCTGCCGGACATCTTGTCTAATCTGACCTTTAACCTTCTCCGGAACACCAAGGGCCGGTCGCGCTACACCCCTCAGGTGGCTGCTCTTACCTGGGGTCAGGACCTGGGGCGTGATTTTCCCTACCCGTTCTACCACTATGACTATGTGCTTGCAGCTGATGTGGTCTATCACCACAACTACCTTGAAGAACTTCTGGAGACCATGCATCACTTTTGCCGACCAGGAAGTCGAACAACGCTGCTGTGGGCCAACAAAATCCGGTTCCAGTCAGATCTGAGGTTCACAGAGTGCTTTAAGAGCAGTTTCGACAGCACGCTGCTTGTTGAGCTCCCACAGCAGGAGGTGAGGATATACAAGGCCACAGCAAAGGTGTGACAACGGAGGTGGAGATTTCCTGAGATGTTCAAAGGGTTTGTGTTTAAATTTTGAGGAAAACAGGAAAATTCCATTTTTATCTTGCTGATTTAAATCCATGTAGAGAAAAGTCTGGTTTTGATGTGACATTCCTGGAAAGTGCTATAACTGTGGTCAAGCAGAAATGAAGCTCCTGATCAAATTTCCATTTCAATAAGCTATTTTATTTGCCAGTACTTTTTCATACATTTAATATTTCTGGATTTATTCATCTTTTGCTGTTATTAAAAATAAATTGATTTGCTGGTAACATTTCTCTACATTCAAATTTGTCTCATAACAACTACACTATAATACATAAACCTTTGTCAAAGGTGCTCTGCTCTTGGCTATCCGTGCAAAGAGTCAATTATGAACCATAAGGTAAACATAAGAAAATTGTTTTCAAAAAGTATGAAACTTTGCGTATCTGGAGTCTTAGCTTTTGGTATTTCAACATCAGCAGTTAATTTAGCTATACATAGTCAAACTAAGGGATAGTAAACTCAAAAAGAAACAAAATCGATTTCCATTAAATGGCATACACTCTATAGGAGCACATATGCAATAGAGGGAAATTAACATTTTACATGTTCAACATGTGACTGTCACTTAGCACCAGACATACCACATAACTAAACCCCTGCTTAAAAACATGATTTTTAAAATGCATTTTAGATCTAAAAGCATTACAATAATTTAACACATTACACACAGAGAAGAGAGTGAACAGATTGAGAGACAGAAAGAAAGAGAAGATGAAGAGAGAGTGTGAAGGGTGCGGTCGTAGGATACAATGTCAATACATTTCTGTTTTTTTTCTTAACTCTTAAATTCCAGGTTGAAAATCCACCTCCATTCTGTTCTGGTTGTTTCCTGCATTCACTATTAAACTTTTAAAGTCTCAAACAGTTTCAACTCTGCCATCAGAGTATTTGCATCTTCATGTTCTGAAGAACTACAAGTCTGCACACTGGATGGTTGATGTAATTTCAAGGTGTTTCAATTACTTTACGATGTGCAGCAGGTCGATGACTTGGCTGGCTGCTCTAGAATGGACTCCCTGCGAAGGTCATCGGGGACGCTGCCATTAGGACCCCAAACGTTGAGCTCTCCATAAATGCCTGTCTCGATCATCTCCTCTTGCCAGGGGATGGGGATGTTGCCTGAGGAAAACTCATCAAAAAAGGTCTTGTCAGGATCCTCCAAGGCCACTCCCTTCACCGAAGAGAAAGCCCCAACGTCATCCAGACTTTTAGCGTACACCACTTTAGGGTCAGGGACAAAAGGAGGGGGCAGAATACCTGGAGATGGGAGAAACAGACATTAAAGCCATTTTCAGGGTCTAAAAGGAAATATAAGCTTTTTATTTTGTTAAGTTATTATAGATGTTACACACAACCCAAGATAAGAAAGTATAGGAAATAGACTGCACCTGCATTCAGTTTCCTCCAGTTGAGGTTACTGAAGAATGGGTGTGCTCTGAGCTCATCACAGCATCCGTTCTTAAAACCCATCCTTTGGTCGACCTCTTTGGCGAGCAGCCCATCACAGAGCGACTTTGCGTGCTCGCTGAAATTGTCTGGATACTCCACCACTCGTGTCAGCATGCGCTCTTTCATCTCCTCCCGTTCAACCTGAACAGGGAACAAACATTCTTCATTTGCATCATCTTATTTCTCAAAGTTAGCCATTTTTGTTGCAAAGCTCAAGGTTCAATAAAAGGAGGCTAACCTTTTCCCCTCTGTTTCTGAATGGGTTCTTAGCAGCCATGAACTCAAATAGGGTCACTCCCAAAGTGAAGTAGTCGACCGACATGTCATATTTCTCTCCTTTCAGCATCTCTGGAGGCATGTACCCTGCAAGAGCAAAAGTCAAACAATGGGAAAAGAAATTCTGATTAAGCATCTCAGCAGTAAAATTACACCTCTATGTAAGAAACTACTCTGTAGATACAGATGAGGCCCACCTGGTGTCCCAGCATATCCTTTGGTCATTGTTTTGCCTTCTTTTAGCTCCACAGCAAGACCCAGGTCAGATATACGCACATTTCCTGGTCGACAACATAAAGACATCTTAATTAGCTATTAATTACACATAAACGATAGCGGTTTGTTGTTCCAGTATTGGCTAAAACGTGATTACCATCATTATCAAGCAGCACATTTTCTGGTTTGAGATCTCTGTAGATGATTCTTTTCTGGTGGAGGTGCTCCAAGCCTTGGATGATCTGAGCTATATAAAAACAGGCTCTGGGCTCCTCAAACCCTGGGTTGCTCTCATCCACCAGGTAGATGTGGTACCTTCAGGGAACATAGAACAGGTGAGCTTTTTGTCCCGTCATGCGTAAAAGGTATGTCATCTGCATATATTTGCAGCATTAAATATACACAATGTGCCAATATGTTGTTGTTACGTGGGTTTACATCTCACAGCGACTGAAAATATTTTGATAATGTGACTTTAAATGACAGATTCTTTTTGAGGAACCACTATGGGATATACTTGTGATCAAAATGAAGTTCTAGGCCTATGTCTCTTGAGAATAGCAGCTAACATTTGTATAAAGCATGCAGTGTATATTCAATAACTGACTGTGAGCGGGTATCTCCTCTCATAAACTGTAACTCCCCTCTCCTCTTGTTTTTCCNNTACCCACCTTTCAAGTAATTTCCCCACGGGGATTATTAAAGTATTTCTGATTCTGATTCTGATTCTGATAACTGAGTGATATACCGTCTCTAACACACATGAAACTGCCCCGTGTCTGTCTACAGACACGCAACAGTTCAGCTGTTAAAAGCAACCAAATGTGCATAGTATTACATTAAATTCATCCCACTGTACAGACACTGTAGTTAGGGATTTGCACATTTGGGCGAGTGTTAAATGTATTTCCACTTTGGGAAACATTAAGTAATCTCTCTCAGTCATCAGTCTTTTGGTTGACCGCACACCTGTTGGAAAATTACACAGGCTGTGAATAAAATAGTAACATAGAAGCACAAGGAACATGAGCCTGAATCTGTTCGTTTGTGCTTTGAAACATGAGTTTTTCATAATGTGAAGTTACTTGAGGTCTCCTCCATTCATGATGGTCATGACCAGACAAAGTTCGTCCTTTGTCTGGAAGGCGTACGCCAGTGACACAATGAAGCGACTGTGAACCTTCTCAAGAATCCTCTTCTCCACCATCGCCCCCTACAGGAGGAAATTGGGAAAGGCAGTTTTGAAAAACATTGGTACAGAGGCATAGGAGAAAAACTAAAGGGAATTTTTTTTTTGCCGTCGGGCTGAAGAAGAATATATACATGCCATTTGAAAAAAGAGATTTAAGTACATTTCAAAGAATGACCTCAGACAAATCAAGGGCAAGATATAACTGTGCCAAGAAGTTCCATTCAGAAGAGCTTTCCACTAAAGCTCCCAGTAATCACTCTATCCCTGTCTCAGTTGTTTAATACTGCAGGGTAAAGCCAAACGAGACAGAGGCAGGGACAAAGACGATTAGCACCATCGCAGGGCACTTTCTCTGGAACATAAAGCCAACAAAATACCTTTATTAATCAAATCATTGCATGCAATTAAAAGAGCCTTCCGTTTCTATTAAATCTAATGCACGGAAACGCAACAACCATAGTCCTGCTGTGGGCACACTGTATAAACTGAGGCTTTCTTAAGTAGAGCAAGGGCCATATTTTACATTTAACATTCAATTATTTCACAAGAAGAGATCTACTTTTCATATATTTACACAGAACTTATTCTCACTGCAGGCTTATCAATAAAAGGCACAAATGTGTCAGACACTAAACATATTGTTCTCACCTCATAGCCTTTCCTCTTCTTCAGCCTCTTCTTGTTGAGTTTCTTACAGGCATACAGTTTTCCTGTGGCTTTCATCTGACAGGCAGACACCTCTCCAAACCCACCTTTCCCCAGCACACGGAAGTCTAAGAACCAGTCCGCATCCATGGGCTGCATCTCAAGCCACTTCCACTGCAGGTACCTCTTCAGAAACAAGCTCTCCATGAAGAAAGTATAGGGGGCTTCCCGCAGATAGTTCAACGTTGTAGTCAGTGCTGCGGAAAACAAATCATCGCCCGCAGCCTCCAGGCCTTCCTTCACCTTGGCTATGATGTCTTCAGGCAGGAACGGGCAGTAGTATTTGGCAGAGGGTTCCATGTACCGCTGGACAATCTTTGAGGACTTCTTTGCCCTGTCAGAATCCTCCGCCAGGTCATAGTCCTCGATGTCTTTCCACAGACGGCAAGACCCATGATACTCTTGATTTGCATTCAAGAATTCCCTAAAGAGGCGTTTTCCGATAGGCTGTTCCCTGCAGACTGTGTCAAAGTTCAAATCCAGGGTATCCCTCAGGCCCTCACACACAGTGATGTGGGGCAGTTTGAGGCGAGAATGGTACTTCTTATCCCGAGCTGCTGCATTAGAGCCATCAATGCTTCCACGGGCATTGATGTAAGCAGAATTCGCTACCACTGTGGTCAGTCCTCCAATATCCATGTTGAGGGTAGGTGACTGTTAGGCAGCGCAAAGAGGAGACATTGCAAAGAGAAAACAGAATAAATGCTGCTTACTAAAGTGCAGGGGTGAGGCAGTAAAAGGATGAAGCAAGGGGGAGACAACGGGAGACGGATCACGGCGTAGTGGCAGAGAAATGGGAACTGGAGATTGGCGTCTCAACTAGATCCCAGCACACTTTGAGCACTGTACCACCCTCGTTCACACACACAAACACACACACACACACACACACACACACCTGAGTCAACACCTTGCGGTAATCCATTAACACCCTAATGCCCCAGACAAAGTGTGCGAGCACATGCTGGAATAGAAGAACACAGGCAGCATATGCAGCTGGAGTATCACCAGTCAATCAACTGGGAAATCACAGTTAGCAGTGGAAAATTCATGTAGAAGCTAATCAAGCAGTTGCTGGATATTAAAAGCTAAAGTCAGATTGGAAAAAGCAATCATGTTTGTGATCAACTGGGAGGCCTACAGATAATCTCAATACATTTGAATGAGTTTATAGTTTTAAAATAAATTTAATTCTCATTTAAATAAAAAAAACTTTACATACTACATATTACTTTGTATGGAAAATAAAGAATTATTGGTTGCTGTAATCAATCCTCCTGTCCACATTTGCTGCACAGAAATCTGGTCAAAAATCAAATTCAGTGTAAGTCCACAGTCCACTTTGTATGCAAGTCAGTATATTATTATTATATCTCATATCATATATATAGCTGAATAACCGAATATATAGAACGAGGTCCGTGCATTTTGTCCTGCTTAAATTTAAATTGCCCTAGGAACAGATCTCTTTGCAGCCAGCGTGGGCATGAGGAATGATTACAGCCACCAATAACTCTTTAAAGGTACTGTGGGTGGTCAGTGGTCAAGATTTTTTTTAATTTTTTTTTTTTAAACAAACCTTCCTTTCAAACATGTGCAACTGAGGGGAAAAGGGAGCTTAAATGTCGTGCATTGACACGTTTTGCTGCCTTAGATCAGACGTATTATGCAAACAGCTCCCAAACCATCCAGTGCCTGCAGCATGTGCTTCATTTGGGCCCTTATCGGTTCTCCATGTCAAAAACATTTGGACACACCTAATTTAAAAAAAACAGGGCCCCGTCTCAATGTCAGCAACTGCACTTGTAAATACGTCTGTACATTAAAATTGTAATTAAATGCTGACATTATGGTTGCATAATATTAGGACCAATGGCATGGTGAGTAAAGGAGCATATAATCAATTGTTCTCACCTCATAGCCATCTTCTTCTTGACTGTCTAGCACGTAGTTTCCCCGTGGCTTTTCTCTGACAAGCAGACAGACGCTTGCCCAAGCCCACCTTTCTGCAGCACAGGCAAGTCTAGGGACCCGCCTTAATCCGTGGGTCTTTTTCTTTTTTTTTTTTTAAAAGAACCACGACTCCCAAATCAGTTCAGTTCTCTTGAAAACTGAAACATCCCTTTACCAGGAATACATCTGCTGGGACAATTTGTAAAAAGCCTTAGTTGAAATGGAAAAATAAACATTTATAATCTTGAGAGGTATGACTTCTTCCAGCTAATTATAAATATTCATTGCTTCGGGCTTGACACAAATAACCCGGTTTCTGTATAAACCCCACATGAATTATCAATACAAAATTATTAAAACAATCTATATTTTAATTTGCAAACTTATATTAGATTACAGAAAAAGTATTTGGAGAGTCAGTACATGTGTTGCTAAGTTTTAAAAGGGAGATCTTTGAAGGGAGTACATAAAGACCTATGCAACCACATTTTTTCTTACATCAATAATTTTTGAAGGTCTATCTTTACACTGGCCTCTAAAGGATACTATAAGCTACAATCGTCGTAGGATTCATATACGTAATTCACAAAAAAAGCTTATTTACCTATTAGGAGCCTGGGTTATAAAAGTCTTTACCTTGCTGGTGCCATTATTTTGTAAACACTACCAAGGCGTTAACAGGGCGGTGATGGAGAATTCCTCAACTCCAGAATACAAAATGAAACAAAACTAGCAAACAAGATCAGGAAAGCAGCTGCCTACAGAACAGAAGGAAGCCAGCCCAACACAATGGGGGATAAGAAACTATCTCAAAAAATTATTGCCCAGAACACAAAATAAAAAGTATCAACACATGTGATGGAGCCCCATCCTGGGATGCCATGGCAACTGTATTAGGCCATTCAGAATCCATGGTGTTGCACTAACACAGCATGTTAAAGGCAAACACTTTGGCCATCTTGGAACATTTTGATCATCATCATGTTTGCCATATGTAATTGCAAAATAATAGGAATAACTATTCAAACAAGTACATTATACATTCTCCAACAGCAGTAGGTTTTACAGAGGTTTCTTTTTAGTGGGATGGCTTATTGAGAAGTGGATTAGACATACAAAGACTCCAGCGTGGTGGCCGGGCCACAGACTACAGTTCCCTTGGACGACACCTCCCCCAGAGCTGTGGTGCAGGTGCACGTGATTCAGGAGCAGAAAAAAGATAGGTGCAATATACACCTCTGTTCTTTCAATATTCATCTACACCCCTGAGAAAGCCAGACAGAAATACAGGCATGGGAAACAGGGGAAAAGGTTGAAGAAGCACACACAAGAAAGGGACTAAATTCCCACGGTGAAGGTGGTTTGAAGGACTGTGCTTGTTGGAGTGGCGTGGCGTAGACAGGTTAGTCTTCATCATCATTCTCATCATACTCGTCCTCGTCATCATCATCCCCCATATAAGACACTGGAGTCTCGACGCGAGACCCGCTGTAGTGAGAGTCATTCGAGCTGGAGGCCATGGTGCCATCAGTGCAGCCATCACTACAAGGAGAGGAAGTTTGAGTAAGTTAAATAATAAGTTAATTAATGAGGTGATGGAGCATAACAGCATCTGCTTTCTGTCACATCCACAGGTTGAGTTACAGGTTAGACCTCTCACCTTGCAGGGTAACGGGCTCCATTGGCAGAGGACCCTCCAGTGATGTAGACGTTACTGATGGGACCCTTTGCCATCTCTGGGAAAAAGAAAATACATCAAGGTAAAGAAGGAAGACTGATGAGAAATGAAGTCATCACTCTCTTCTGCGGTCAGCCTCGCTGAATATGCTGACTGACAGGTGTCGTACAATGTTTAGTTAACATCCTGTTAACATTATCCTCTCTAACTTTGTCTACGTTTGTCGTTCACAAAGTTAATCCAGCCAGCAATGGAAAAAATCTCAAATATAAATTTAAAGGCATCGTGTATCAGGTTATCCCACGATTAAGCAGCCAGGAGTGTCTTTCTTCTCTCTTCTAATAACAACAACAGTGTCTTTATTTATTTGAAATGATACCGATATGTCTGCAATAGGGCAATAATATCGGCAGACCAATATGTCGGTCATGCTCTACATAAAGCTTCTTCCTTCAAAACCTGTGATTTTGTAATGTATGAGTACTCTAACCAGTTGACTGTGGTTGCTTCCTTTTTTACTATTCATTCATTTGCATTTTTTAAAACTGATCCACTGACCAAAAAAATAAATAAATCGCTGAAAAATGTTCTAGACCACAACAAACAAGCACAGTTGTGGTAGTGTCTAAGGCTGCACGAGGCTTTCTATTTTTCAACAAGAAAAAGGCTTTTAATATAAAACAGGAAAATGGTTATTTAGCTTGTATTAAAACTACTTTATGAGCAACTGACCAATAACTCAAAATGAGCGTGTGGTTCACTAGGGGCTGTGGCACTGACCTATAACGTAGGGCTCCAGAGCTTTCGGCACCAGGCTACGTGCAACCTTCAGATCCTCTGGAGAACACTTTCCCACTTCCAAACCACAGGCCATGCCCATACGTTTCAGCACCTCGATGTCGTCGTGGATCTCAAACATGCTGTCAAAATTGAACAAATACTCGAACCTGTAGATGAGAAAGAGGAGAAACAGGAAATGGTGAATTATCATTTTTCCCCCCCAATTTATTCCCAATAGATCTTTAAGGAGTTTTTACTGAAAGACTGTGCTTGAGTGTATATTCAGTAGAATGGTAAAGGTTATGAGTACAGCACAGGATGGTGGAGATAATGTTGAACTTTAAATGCTGAAAATGAAAACCACCACATACTTGTCATTAGAGATGCTGCAGTCGATGACAGTTTTCTTGCTGGTGTTGACAATAATGAAGGGAAGGTGGATGATGGAGTTGGGAGGTGGAGGTCGGTTTGCCTGCTGCTCTGTCTGTCTGTTCCGCTGAACCAAGTTCTTAAAAGCTATTTGCTGTAAGACAAGATCGCAGAAAGATGAAAACTTTGAAGCAGCTGCAAGAAGCCTTCAGTTTAGATTAAGAGCACATTCATCATTTTAAAAAAAAAAAAAAAAAAAAAAACATGTCTGCTACATTCTTCACAATGTTTTAGCTGGATTTATACTCCTGCACTACTATGTATATACAGCGTATCACCACGATAGCACTAATAGATGTGATGTGCATTATGAAGCTGTATTAAGTAACTGTTTGTGAATTCAGTGACTACTTTATTAGGTACACTCTAATGCAATCCAATTCTTATCTTTTTTGTCCACCCTATTTATATACATGTCAACTATAACTGGTTGACAATGTTTATTAGGTACACCTAATATTAAATAATGCACGTAATAACAACAATAATATGTATATTCTTGTGCTCACAGACACCATGAGAACAATGGTGCTTTACTGAAGGGTAGAAGAAAAAAATGATTATTTAACTTTCCTGATGTTGTTGGTCCCAATGAGTAATCATCCCCAGCAGAGCTCCCATCATAGCTACAGAGGCTACACGTGAAGAAGACCATCCTGAACACACAAGTAGGCACTCAGTATGTTCTCACCTGCAGTATGAGCTCCTGAAGCTGTGATTGTTTCTGCTTAATCCTCTCCAGCCGCCTTTGTCTCTCCACCTACAGTTGAATAAAAAAGGAATAATGATTAAGAATTATCAACTCTCCACCTTATCTCCAACACAAGCTACTGTAACAGTGGTCTTCACGGTGTTTCTACCTCGAGGTTTTGGCACTCTTGCGCTGAGTTGGTGGGAAGGCCAATCCATTTGATTTCTTTTTTCTCTTTCGAGATAATGTTCATGGCCATGAGCACATTGAGTGCATCGTACACACGCCGCCGAATGTTCTTCTGGTCATACACATGCTAAAATGGAAAGACAAGATTCAAATTATTAACAAAAGATTTTAAAGAGAATTGTAAAATCTAGCACTATACTTAACAACAACAAATGGTTCTGTTCAGTGTTAAACAGTTTTGCATCATTGTGAGAAAATGCAGCCCCCACCGAGTCATTGGGTGACATGTGGTTGTCTGAAGAGCTGAATTCTGCGACCAGTTCATCTGCCACTTCATTGTAGGTGGTTACTCCTTTCTTCTGCACCTTCTCACACACTTTCATGGAGAAATGCCTCAAGCCCTTCCCGTTCTTTTCCCCTTTCTTACCACGTTTTCTGTAGACAGGACAAATCCCACACATTCAAATTTTCACACCAAACCCAATGTTTAACATGTCAAACTTACATATGGTAAAAACACTTATAAACTTTACCCTGATGACCAAGGAGAAGCATCAGATGGTTGACTCTGAGTGAGGAACTGGGAACTCGGTGTATGTGGACTGTTTACCAAAATGGTATTGGATACCGTAGGCCTCTGGGGTGTTCCAATCACCTACAATGGACGGAGCAAAAGAAAGGAAACATCAAACCCATGACATTAAAACAGGTTCTGCCTGTTGTAATCATTCCTCCTGTTCAAACTGGCCAGTAAAGGATCCTTTCCTAATGCACTTTCAATATCAGTGATGTGGGACAAAATCCAGTGTCCATTCTGTGTAAAGTTCATCTAAATCCAATATGAGGCTTCAACATTTGGAAGGATTAGGGGCGTGGTTTGCTCGCTTTAGTCTTCTCAGGAATTGCATCCTCTGCTAGCTCTTTGCCAGACGGCTGGTGTTCAGAGACCAGAATAGTCACTAGTTATGGGAATGATTTTGACCTTCACCATGGTGGAACCTGGTGAGACACCCCTTCCCCTTTCAGAACTCTGCAATTATCTATTTTGTCTTATTGACACAGAGACAGGTTGATGTCTTCGACAGCTTCACTGATTTCTGTTTGTTTTTTTTCTGCTGAGCTCATAATAATTGGAACGCTGCATGCAGTTACCCTCAACTACAAACTACAATTATTGATTAGTCCCTTAAATTTGTTTGGACGTTTTTTGAATTTCGGGTTGAGCAGAAGCAGGACAATTCTTTTAATGGGTAACTCAAAAATATCTCCCTTTGATTAGCATTATTTAAGGTTCAAATGCTCAACATATTTGGATTGTGCTGCAGAAACAGCCACATGCACTTGGTTTTATAAAGTATTAATGGAGGAATAACACATTCCATTAATTGATTCATCAATTATAGGTTATGAATATAGTCAATGATCGATTAAAGAAATTGCTTGAATTGTACATCCCCAATAGTAATATGAAGCATCTAGAAGATAGGTGATCTATTCCTTCACTAGGGTGATATCTAAGCTGATTCCCGTTATGTATACATTCCATGTATATAATGGGATGATGGGTGTAATCCTGCTGACTGTAGAGTTGATAAGCTTAGGATCAACTGCCTCCACCTACCCTCCGCCCGGTCACCTCACAATGATAAATTAGGGGCTTACACAACAGTAAGACACAGCAGAGAAACACAGCAAGGAAATCTATATACACATGATTCTGTGTGCCAACAACACTTTAGAAAGAAACGTTTATATTTATTGAGAGATTCTAAACTATCAAATGTGGTTAACAAAGATTATTACACAATACACAGTGTGTTAGTTGTGTGGAGGATCACTCACCATGTGTGGCACATGTTGCATGTGTGCAGCAATGTTCACATTGGATGGCCCAAGAGTTTTGGGTAGTAGCTGTTTGGCCACCGGGGCAGCGGTGGGCTGGACAGTAACCAAAGATAGGACACCTAATAGAAGATATGAGAAGATCAGTAATGAAAGGAGCTCTTGATTGATACTCCATTGCCCCCTATCGTTCAACTACGAGCACATAGGCCTACACATGAAGAAAGTGTGTTTGGAAACAGGGTTTCCTTTGTGGAACAGGCAATCAGTTAACCAAGACTGTATGTAACGTACAGAAAATGCTGTGAACTGTGTGCAACTGCTGTAAAAAGGAAATTACTAGACACGTTTACCTTTGCTAGGGCTCAGATTCTGATCGATGAAAACCTTCAGCTCTCCATTTGTTTCAATCAGACCAGCCTGCAAAGGACAACACCTTAATGTACTCCAAAAGTGACAACATTACATCCAGAATAACAAACATGAGGTTACAGGAGATGTCTGAAGTTACAGCAACCTGTGCTTTCACCTAACATCAGCTACAACTAAACTACTGTTTCAGCTAAAATATGTAGAAAGCAACTTACATCTTTAGCCATGATCCCAAAGGACCGGAGGAGTTGAGCTTCAGGTTAAAAAGAAAATGTTCTTCTGTTCGTCACTATTCAGACTCCTAAAGACAGAAAGGAGCAAACTATTAAGTGACAGTGCTAAGTTTCTAATAACACCCAAACATCACATTATTTCCATGATATGTCCCGTGCTTAAATATAGTTTATTGTTAATAGTGTAAAAATTAAAGTGCAGTATTCCTGAGGCCCATTTGAACAGCTTGCTGCCAGCACACTGTACAAAGCTACATCACTCACGTTAGCTTGAGTTACCGGGTATTCTTCTTACAAGACTAAATCTGTGGAAAATGTGTCATTTTCGACCAGTTTCAACAGTCTGGTCCTTCAGGAGGCCTTTCTGAATGAACCGTGTAAGCAGAAACCCGTTTAAAACCACCTCTTGATGCTCACAACTTTTACTACGCTAAGTGTGCACAAGGCCTACTTCAGGTACCGAGCACGTCCGGAGGAGAGGAGCCGTCCAACTTCTGCTACAGGTCACTCAAACATGATAACTTTATCAACACCGGCGCAAAACTATCCGTGTGATTAAAGCGAGAGCACCACACGGCCCCGGGTATCACTGCCGCATGCGGTAGTAACATCATTCATGTTGCACGACGAGAGCAATGAACAGTCTTTTGTTGAATGCAGCTAGCTAACTGTTACCGCTAACTGTTAGCGTCAGATGCAACTTGCTGGCGTTAGCTAGCTAGTTAGCTTGTGCACGTTTTGAAAGGATTCACGTCAAATTTAACTATTATTGTTTCCGTGCTGCAGGTTACAAACAACGCTGAGTACGGGTTGACGTTTTAGAAAGGTGTGTGCATTTCGCACGGTTGAATGAAGAGAATATAGTGGTTATTATGCACTTACGAGTGCACTCTCCTGTTTCTTCGACGGCTGTTGTTGTTGGCATTTGAGAATGGAGGAAGAGGAGGTCTAAATCCCTACCAAACAGGAAACAAACTGAGAAATGTCTTAGTACTTTTCTATAATTATATACTTAATTCAAAGGATCAAATATTTTATTAGTGTTGAGTATTTAGCTCGAGTTTATTTTTTCTTGCAGCTCCCGTCTTTTGTCACTATACAGGGAGAGATGTCGGGATATTTGCCTGTTGGTGGAGAACTGAAGCTGTATAAAAAGTGATCGTTTTCAATGGAAGGAGGACGAACAGCTGAAAAAGTAAACACGAAGTTCACAATGAAATAGAAACAAGATGTGTTTGATTCAGACCGAATTTAATGATGCATTTAAAACTGAAATCCAAAGCATTTACCACAACTTCTGTGATGCCGGTTACTTACTGCTAACGTTAATTAGGTTATTGATGTTTATTTAATGACAGATGGATTTCTCATTGTCAGTTGGGAATCAGTCAGCAGCAAACTGAAACTCACTGCCTGTCGCTGTAAAGCTACACTCAGAAAACCCTCATTTATTGTTTATTATAACCAACTAAACATCCAACTAGCCGGATTATTATATTTAGAATAAAATACTGACCCCTACGATCACTAACGTTAAATTAACGTTAGTTAACGTTAGTGATCAACCACTGAACGCGCATTTTAAACGTTTGTTTTCATGACGTTTCCGAACACTGCCGTTGGTAGAAGCAGTTAAAACACGTTAACGTTTAATAGCACACGAGCGCAGTGCGTTAATGGGACCGGTCCAACCGTCGACCGTTACGTTAAAGTAACCGCTGCTAATGACTCCGTTATCTTTTGCTACATACGGTATGTTAGCAACTGCTCTTCGGATCGATTAAAGTTAACGGCGACTACTACTTCGCTAACTAGCAATGCCTAGTGAGTATTTTAGCAACGAGCTAACTCGCGATCACGGTTGAGAAGCCAGGAGCACCGGCGCTTTGTTAGCCAACCGCCGATACGCTAGCTAGTGGTTAGCTTGCGGACGAGCCAGCTAATCCACAGCTGTCACCCACAACACTGCCACAATGAGCTGCACCTGTCTGCTGGCTGTACATTAAAAACACACAACAACTTGTAAAACAGATATCTAACATCAAGAAGTTTATTTTGCGGCAGCTGGGCAGCGAGCCACAAGTCGATAAATGTGGCTTACCGGTGCACTTCACAAGTTAGCAAATGGTTTGTTAGCCTCTTTCTATCCACCCTGTGCTAGCTGTGCTACAGCAGCGCGTCTCACAATCTGATCTTGGCGGTGTCTCGCTTTGGCGGTGTCTGATTGGACAGCATCGATGAGACGAAAGCAAAACAGTCAAAGTAGTTCATGCCCACAACCTGCATCTCTCGGGATTGGTGGATACCAACCAGCTTCAAAGATATCTCTACCGCCATCTGCTGCTCAGGAGTGTTCATTTTACTCGTCGTGTGTTTCTCATTAACCCTAAACTAACTAACCTTACATTAGGGTTGTATTGCTGTAGCCACATTTAATATGAATGGTTTCAATCAGCTTTAGGAGGAGTTTTAATTCTACAATTACACTGAAATTGACTCATTTAACTCAACATTTTATTCATTCATTCAATTAAAACTAAATAAATGTGCAGAATTATATTCCTGTAGTTGTGGTGAAGGCTTTGAAACTGCCATAAACCTGGAAGACAGTCATGATAGAAGACAGACTTAATAGAAAACATAATTGATTATTTAAATGAAAGATAAATATGTAAGAAGAAAAGATAAAGATTTATGCACCATTAATTCATACCAATGTCTTTCATCCACCCACATGTACAACAATGGCAGCAAGATGTCATGTAAACAGCTGGCAGTATTTTTTTTGCCATCATTAGGCAAAAGGTCATCATCATAATCTTTCAGCACATATTGTAATTCAAGTGATCTTACAGAAAGACTTCTACTTGACATTGTTTTCAGGCCTTAGAAAGTCCCTGTGATGGGAGACTTTGGCCAGTTACGGATCGTTTTAGTTCACATCTGCTGTTCTACAAATGCAGATGTGCATCCATATCCCTTCAGACAGTGAAAGCCCGATTCAAAGACAACCTGTCCCCACACCACAAAGAGCTTCAGGCTCCTTATGATCGATGCACTGTGAGAGTCATGTTCTTTGATTTCTCCAGTGCTTTCAACACCATCCGTCCGGCTCTACTGGGTGAGAAGATGACTGTGATGCAGGTGGAGGCCCCCATCGTGTCTGGATTGTTGACTAGCCTGACGGCATGACCACAGTACGTCAGGCTATCAGAACTGTGTGGTCTGACAGGGATGGGTCAGCACACACTGGGGCCCATACGCTCAGGGGACTGTCCTCTCTCCCTTCGCTCTTCACCCTTCCCTTACTTCAGACTTCACACTATGCACTGTGTCTTGCACACCTTCTGAAGTTTCTGACTGGACTTCTGACAAGTAGTTTGGCTTGCATTGGAAAAGGGGGTGATGAGAGTGCTTGATGTAGGAGGCTGTTTGTGGGAACTTTGTCAACATTGGAGTGAGCGGGCAACCAGGTGTGAGCTGAACCATCTGCAGCTCAATGTGACAAAGACAAAGGAGCTCATAGTGGATCTGAGGAGGGCGAAAACACCAGTGACCCCTGTTTCCATCCAGGGGGTCCCTGTGGACACTGTGGAGGAATATAAGTACCTGGGGGTGTACTTAAAACCTTTCTACTACAAATGGGTTCTTTTAACATAATATGAGTGCTTTGCAAAATAATCCAAGAAGATTTCTTTATAGTCTATAGAAGATTTATACTGAAAATGTACAGTTCAAAAAGACATTTCTCCTTTTCTTGCTCACGTGTTAGTGCCCAGCTGTTCCTTTTACAGAGATTATATTCAGTCGCTTCTCTTGTTGATCTCAAAAGACAAGGCTCTCCACCTAATCTATACCCAATCCTAAACTTGCCTCATACTTCTGGGGTGTAAATCTACTGTCACAAACTAATGTTCTGCAAAAAGATCTCACCTTGTATTGTTCTGCATACTTTGACAATCCTGTGCTTTATACATTTTTTGTTCCTATTTTTTTTATCAATTATCAGCTTAATTCATTGAAATTGGCATAGGTCAAACCTACACTTTATTACACAGTAATGTCTTCCTTCTCTCTCTCTGACTCTCTACCAGCAGGTAACTTTTCTTTCTTCTGTGGAGACAGAAGCAGGCTCCTTAGATCTTCTTCAGCTCCATCTTAGCTGTGAACTCTGCACTAGGTTTACAGTCGAGGATATTAGGAAAATAAAATGTTATTACTCTCTGGATAATATCCTTTATAGTACACCGTATATATACCACTTATTCTTTACCTTGTGATAATAGTTGACGAAAACTAAAATTCATACTGTCACAGTAAAAATACCTATCAGAGACAAAAATCCATTTTAATTGACTTTACCCTCACACGAGCTGCAACCCCAAATATTCTCACATGTACACCAAACTCAGTAACTTACCATCCTAAATATTAAGATCACTGAAACTGAACATAGATATCTGGTCAGCAGATACAAACATTCATGGTGACTGCATGCAAAAATAAACAGATGAGCAGCAGTGCCATCTTTAAACCTAAAGCATTGCTCTTGCCATATGTGGGCTGAGTGTCAGCTTCATCTCCACATGATGTTTGACAGCAGGTGTCACAATATAGACATTGAGACAGGAGATGTATTCAAACATTAAAATTAAAAATCATCTAAATTATGTTTATTTAGACATTTCTCTAATCTTTGATTAAATATTGCATATATAGTTGTACCTTTTCAGGCATCTAAAAAAAGATCAAATTAAGCATTTTGAGAAGGTAAAACCGCTCACAATTTAAGGGGTCACATATTCTTCATATATTTATATATATTGTCAGTTGTCACTTTATTGTGTATAATAAAGACTTTAATGTGGTCTGGGGTGTTATATTTAAACATACTTGTTTCTGCATTGTGTGAATATAGTGGGAAATGTCAGTGTGAGTTTTTAATTTTCGGAACAACATTTTAACCATTCGGTAGTTAATAAATTGCCATCACTCTCATCTCAAACAATGATTCATTGTCTGGATTTGTTGCCTATATGTATGTTATATTCAAATAATTTTGACTTGGTGTAATTATTTAGGCTTTCTCATTAACCCTCAGTGATCACAGTATTATAGATTACGCCCCCTGATTATGACTCTGGATTAATAGATCATTGCTATGCCATTAATTTGTTCAATTACACATGATGTTTTAAGGTTCAGTGCTGTAGTTTCCACACGTCCAACCTACATCCACTAGTGGGCGCGCCTGTATTTGGTATAGCTGATCCCGGGCGGTGATCAATGTAAAACATTGGAGCATAAACTCACATTACCACCAGTACACAGGCGCACAGAGCTACAAGGACACAGAGCGACCTGTGCTCTACTCTCCTAACAAAACAGGGCGAGAGGATTCATTTATTCCGCTTCTTTTAAAGAAATATAAGAGGGATTGAGTGGAGCTGTCGCAAAGTGTCGTGAAGCAGCAGACGGCTGACGGCGCCCCCGTGCGGCGCAGCGGGTAAATCCTGCAGCCGGAGCCAGCGAACAGACGACCTGCTGGGTAAACAAGAGTGGATGCCTCGAAAGGCAGGAATGGCAACTTCGTCGAGGGCTAATAGTGAGACATTTCTACCTTGTCCAATAGAAAGATACTAGAGAGGCCGCACTACCTCTTGAGATTCGACAGGATTGCTTCGCGACTCAAAACGTCTGAGTATAATCGGGTGTTTGAGGAGTGAAGTGGAAGTAGCCTTTATGTTAGCTTAGCTCGTTAGCCATCCAGGGCCCATTGCCTTCGATTTTGCTTCTCGGATCAGCTCCGGGACTGTGTTGTCAGTTTCACAATCTCGGCCACTAAAACGTCCTCGGATCGCGGTCTCTGTGCAGGGCCCTGCCTCAAGCTGCAGCTAGGGTTCACATTTCCACACCACTGCCACCTTTTTTTTTTTTATTTTTTATCGCTTGTCGTTGTTTCCCCACAGGATTTAACCTCACATGTTACCAAAAGGACGGCGACACAGTGTGAAAAAAGGACT